AATAGCAGGAGATTAATTTTGATAGGAAGAGGCGGCGTCCAGGGAGTTCATCGCAGAAATCCTGGATAGCCTTCTCGAAATCATCGTCCTCGGAAGACTGTGGAGAAAGAGTAGGTGTATCGCCGAGAACGATAGTAGATATTGAAGAAAACGAACGGGGGGAAAACGGTGGTTCGGGAGAAGGACACTGAGGGCAATATACAGGAGAGTAGCTGGGAAGCGAATAAAGGGGTGAATAAAGAGGTGAAAAATTAATAGGATTGTATGCGAGCGTACGTGTGCTTTGTATGTCTCGAATGTTATTGTTGGTCCCGGTATACAGCTTCAAGTTCTTCGGACTCTCTTGTTATAGTCTTTTCCGTGGGCGTATTCTAATTTTGGGAGTAACGATTCTCTAAAATTTTAACGAATTAGAATTACGCAGAGGTGGGGATCCACTAGCTTTAGAGAATTAAAAGTAGACGCCTAGTAACGTCATCGCAGGAGACAATAGAAAGTATCTTGAAAGGTACGTGTGTACCTGAGGGTGATAGAGGCTTAGGACTCTATGACGTCACAACAAATGAGAGAAGGAAAGAGAGAATGAAAAAAATTAAACAATCTAAGCAAAAAAAAAATCCTACATTTATTGATATTTGTTCGGGAGTCGATCTCGACGAGATCGCCCGAAACTGAGAGAGACGCTCAGAGATGAGCGAGAAGCGGTGTGTAACGCGAATCCGTAGATCCGCTAGAGGATAAGGAGATTGAGAAAAGAATCGAGTGCAGATTGTTAGTAATGTTCCCTTTATTTTGAAGAATAGGAACGAGCGACGGCACGTATTCCGCGATTCCGACGGAAATCTTCGAAATGTCCTGTTAATGACTGCCCTTTTTTCGCGGTTCGGAAATCTTGATTAAGAGCTTCTTGCTAGAAGCTCTCGCGAGAACGGATATCTTGCACGCGGACGCCGGATGTTGCTTGGCGCGAGGCAGAGGACATTCGCGATGCGGTTAACGAGCGTCGACTCTCGGACTTCACAGAATTAACGTTCACAATGTCTTAGCACTAACTGAATTGAAGAATACAGTTGGAGATATGACCGAATTGACCGCCGCGAGAATATGAATGCGATCGTATGGCAAGACAATTCGGACCGAATTTGAGACGAGTAAGCCTACTGCGTACGCGACACGAGCGAGAATAAGACACGAAAGAATATCATACGAGAAATGATGATATTCGAAACTATGATCTATTGCTATCGACCAGCTCGAATCGTTGTTGTAGGCAGACTGAATAACGACGGAACTGAGTCGAGACGCTGTTGATTGTCGACGTCTGTTACTCGATGTTACACCAATCTCACGAGCAAAGCACAAGTAAGACTTGCAGAATAATATACAGCTTCAAGTTCTTCGGACTCTCTTTTTATAGTCTTTTCCGTGGGCGTATTCTAATTTTGGGAGTAACGATTCTCCAAAATTTTAACGAATTAGAGTTACGCAGAAGTGGGGCTCCACTAGCTTTAGAGAATTAAAAGTAGACGCCTAGTGACGTCATCGCAGGAGACAATAGAAAGTATCTTGAAAGATACGTGTGTACCTGAGGGCGATAGAGGTTTAGGACTCTATGACGTCACAACAATGAGAGGAGGAAAAGAGAGAATGAAAAAAATTAAACAAGCCAAGTAAAAAAAAAAAAATCCTGACATTTATTGATATTAATTTTACATAAATCAATATTCTTATTATATATAATTAAGATATTACATAGGAGTACAACGTCTATATCGTATTACAATTTGAATTACATGATTAAACGTGACAGCGCATAGCGTACAATGTTTTACTTGTTTCTTTTTTCGCGAAGAAAAATTTTACGAAATAAGTGTACGATTAAGCGATCGTTATGTTCGCAATCTTCGGTAAAAAGACTAAGAAACCGATTAAGATCATAACCGTTGCACATATAATATAAAAATACGCAACTATATTGTCCACATGTTTGAGAAAAAATTCCTTGTAATTGTTGAATATTCCAACGATGGATGATGGAGTTTCGACGAAGTCGGAGGAGAAATCCGGGGTGCAAGGGTGGTATTCCGTAGCTGTCGAAGTATGTGCCTGTATCATGCTCGTCGAGGAAGATGGCGACTCAATGTTCTCCAGGTCGATTGTGGTCATCCGTATTAGCGACGATGGCAGTCGACCTCGTCCACACCCTCGGGACTCTGTCGGCTGGATAAACTCCCGCATGCCTGGCATTGATGTGGTGCAATGCTTGTAGAATTTTGCGAGAGTTCATTATTTTTGTATGGAGGCGAACGAACGAGCGGTATTATATATTCAATAACTTCGGTTTTTACCTCCTTCGGTAGTGCGTCTTTGGTCGTGCCGGCTTGTACCGCTGAGTTTTAAATGTCGGCTTGTGTGGAGTTAATAGTTGCTTCGAGCTTGTCTCTATCCATCAACGACGATAATTCAGATTTTTCAAATTTTTCTTCTTCTTTTTCTATTGATCGCTCGGATTTTTGCAGATTTTTTTTCTCTATTTCATTTTTATCGCGCAAAATCTCATACGCGCTACTGATTTCCTCGTTTTCGTCGTCTTCGTTTTCGGCGTCCTCGTCGTCGTCCTCGTCGTTGTCGTCGTCGTCGTCGTT